TTCCCAATTAGTTTTGTAGCTGGGATGGTTAAAAAGCAGGAACTTTTCATGATGAGTTTTGAATGGGTTGGGTATGGAATTTAATTCATGACCTTTTAATAGTTGTTAAAATATTGGAAGCATTGTACCTATTAAAATGTGATCTGCAAATTAATTTTCCTCTCAAGAAGGTTAGCTGTTATCAGTGTTTATTTGAAAAATTAAATTTGAGGTTGTGCAGATGTATACTGGCTCGTGAAAAAGGAAGGAAAAAACACCAGTAGAAAAAAGAGCTTTCTTTTACCTTTGTGGGAATTTAGACTGCTCTGATTAGAGCTTAAGCCTAACAAAGGCTGTGCTTATTAAAAACAAATGCATGTCTCATTAGTCATCAATATCTGGCAACCTTATGTACTTAATATTTATAATGAACTCTGCTTTTGTGGTCTCTGCTAGAGAGAGTCTTAATCTTTGTGATTGTTCAAAAGAATATATTCTTTTTGCCAGGTTAATAAACTAGTGTATTTAAAATTCTGTCAAACTTTTTTTCTTACCAACAATGTATTGCCCTGGATTTCTAATTCTGTCTTTCGCTTGCTTTGTATCAGGATCCCGAGGTATGAAGCAGGTGTCCGGGTGGTGGGATTGTTCTCTGCTCAGGTGGCTGTAGGTCTGTGAGTTGTAAGGCCTAACAAGACACGAGAAGCAGAGTGATGATGGTGACTGAGATGTGAATGCTTGCTGTTGTCGGACGGTAACGTGGTGACTGGTAACCCGCAGACTGGCACAGCGTGGTGGAGGAGAGAGAAAATCAGGGAAGACTGAAGGAGCAGCGCCACGACTCAGGATGTAAACGGGGCACTAAGCATGGCTTGCGTGTGTACTTACAGCCATCTGATGACGACTGGTGCTGGTTATTGGTTCAGGTCACTTCCAAGTTAAAACCAGTGTATCTTTCAATTACTAGTGTGGCCCTAAAGGCTGTTTAGGGAGTGCTACTTCATCGATTCTGGTGAGGTGTGTTTAGGGAGTATTCAGGCTCCTAGATGTGGTTTGGAACTTTCTTTTCTACTCTGTTGAGACTTCTGCATTTGAACAGGCAATGCTGTCTGGTGGCCTGTTCCCAAATTTAGGAACTTTCCCAAGATCTAATCACTTAGTCCAGAATCTTGACGGTATCTTCTTGCTTAATTCCTATAGAAAATAAAAGTTTGTGGGTTCTGTCTGCATGTGGGCCTCCAGTCTTTGTGTCTTTCTCCTGCAAGTGAAAATGTTTGTTTAATGCTCAGGATTGGGTATTAACAAGAAGCACTTGGGGACTGTAAGGTAGAGAGAACATTTACTGAGTTGGGATCTGGTTGCCTTCCTTTGTTACTTCTGCATCCAGTAATGTCTCAGAAATGCTCTCTTACAAGCTCTGCTGGAACGTGGAGCAGCTCGGCAAAGGGGAGCCTGGTGCTTTGCTGCCAGAGAGCAGCAGGGGCAAGTAACCAGCTGAAGTAGTGCAGGACCCCCTGAGTTTTCATCCTGTGACAGATAGAGTTAATGACCTGAGAGCCATTTGCACAGTTTATGCACAAAGCTGGTACTTTTAAAATGCCAGAGGCTAGGAGGTAGCTAGAGCTTGGGGAGACGGCTGTGCTTTCTCGGGCTGCAGATTCACGAGAAGGTAGCTCCCTTCAGAAACAGTTGGAAGCTTCAGGGTTTTTCCAAGCTGGCCTAGCTTGTGTGGTGGATGTTCTTACCTCCTTCTGGTTATGGTCAGGACTTTTCTGTAAGGTACAGCCTACTCCAAGCCAGCAGATCACTGTGCAAGATGGGTGACCTTCAAGTGCGTTCTTGGAACACCCCGTGGAATTAGTGATGAAAAACTGTTTGGAAAATAAAGTTAACAAAATCCTAAATCCTAGAGTTAGAACTCACAATAAAATCTTTTTTATATATCTGTTCTCACACCCTAAAAAATGGTTTAGGCTGTTTGCCAGTGAAGGCAGAGCACTGTGAGGAGCTGATTTTAAGCTATCCCGGGTGGGGAGTTGTGGCACCTTGCCACGATCCACTGGCTGCCCGTTCCTGCCTCTGTTGTATTTTGACTGTTCAGCTGTGCTAGCACAATTGTCTGTCTATCTGTGCTGTCAGCCGGATGAAATGCTGGGGGTAGGGGGGAGGCCGGAGTATTTCAGCAGTCTTCCCATGCAGCTTGGGAGCTGTTGCAGCAGAGTAACAGAGGGCTACAGAAGAAGTTTGGGAATGGGCTAGCAGGGGTGGAGAGGTACGCAACTGGAGCAGTGTGCTGCCAGAGCTGTATCCTGAACAATGGCCTGAGCAGAAAAAAGCTGTAATAACACTAAAAGACGAGTACAATCCTTGGCCCTGGGAGAATGCTGGTGAGCTCATTCTGGAAGTGTGTAATGAGAAGAGTCTTCTGTAATTTGTTGTGGAGGGATCAGCAATGTTTTCTGCTCATGTCTGCTTTTCTATAGGAAAAACAGATTGTATGAATGAGGAAGATCAACAAATCTGTACTTTGAACCGAAGTAGGAAATATTCCCAAGGTTGAAGAAACCTCACTGAGACTGCCTTTCTTCCTTCTGCTCAAGCCAGGATACTGTTAGCTTGAATACCAAAGTCATATACGATACAGTATTTGCTGAGACTAGGGGAGGATGGGTTAATTGCTTTTAGTCTTGTTTCCCTTTAGTTATTTCTTGCTCTAGTCAGTAATACAGGGATTTAAGAAAATGTGTGTAGTTGCATTAGCTGCATAGTAAAGAACCTAGCATGGCAGATCTTGTCTTTGGAGTTGTTGGTGAGAAGGTCTCATGGAGAGCCCGGTCTAGCATGGCT